ACAGTTGCTTAAAGTGGTCAAAATAAGCAGCAACATGAACTCAAAGAACCTGAGAAGCATTTTTCCTTCTATAAAGGTTTTTTTTTAACTAAAAATACTAGACAATTATTTTTTACTTGTCACTGCACATAAGTGAGCGACCATGTTAAGCAAAACAGTGCTGTCACACAGTGTTTTGAACTACAGCCAGAAAAGGAAGAATGTATTTGTGCCAAAACCTCAGAACTCTGCAGACTGGGCCAAATTTACAAGCACTTACAAATTATAGTTTAATTAACTGAAATGCACACTAACAGTCTTACCACACACTGTGCAATGTTGATGTGCAATATTCTATATAACAGTGCTATTTCTTACTGTGCAGTATTGGTGTGTAATATTCCCATAGTGATTGACATTCTTCAACTTCACAACGTGTGATATTGTGTACACAGGCTTGTTTTGTTTAATTGTATTCTATTTTTTATCTACCATCTATTTAAATACTTGCTTTTTTGCACTTATAGTGGTTTTAATATTTTGGCTGATCAGGTGACCATTCAACAAAAATAAGAAAATGTATCCCCCCTGCCCAACTCCCCACTAGAGTCCACAGAGTTCAAGAGAGGTGAGGCAACACTTTAGAAATCTCACACAAATGCATAAATTGTTCTGTAAATGTATTTTTATACACAGATTATAGATAATTAAGGGAGCTTGCTTGTATGAAAGAGCAGGTAAAATTAACCAGATCACTTCAGTTAAACTATGGCTCCAAGAGATGTTTTTCCAAACCACTTTTAGCACAGACATTTCTAGACATGTCAGCCTCAACGGCCAGGTTGGATTAAGAAAATTTTAAACATCATTATTGGAAAATTAACACCTGAGATTCTAAATTACAGGTCAAAGGTTGCAAAGCAAATCAGAGTAAGAGTCGTCCCTTTTGAAAGAGATAAGTGAGACTGTGAAATGAATGTGTCATCACAGAGCAAAAATAATGACAACATAAATAAATTGAATGACTGAATTGAAATAACTGAATTTTATGACTGATGAAACTGATGAAAAAACATTTTTTCTACCAGATTGCACAGCTGTAATTTTAGTGGCACATGCAGTTTCTTTTTCTTTTCTCTATTTTTGCTGGTGTCAGCCACATGTCATCAGTCAGACAGACGTGTGTTTGCTCCTTAGGGGATATAATGCTTTAATAAGATTAAAATTCAGATGCAACAGAAGAAATGCAGCAATGAGACCATGCGAACCTCAAATGCTGAGCTGGCAATGAATAATGTTACTGAGATAATGATGCTGTCTGTTGTTAAAAATGGATGTGGAGAAATGAGAGCCGTCCCAGAGTAGCAGAGACAGGGATGAAAAAAAAAGACAAGCTAACAGCGCAAGACATCTCTGAACACACACACACAACACAACACACCACACCACACCACAGGGCAGCAAAATAAAAACCATTCCATAAACAGCACAAGGAAAACCATGCAAAAAGTTTAGAAAATGAATTATGGGTGGGTTAAGAGTGAAAACGATGGATGAGTACTTACTCTGCAATGCTCTGAACCGTGATATTTCCCCCCCTTCCTCCTTACCCACAGCCCTCATTTGCTTGCTGATGGCCTGGCAGATTTCTTTGCCAGCTGCGATTTGCGCTTTCTCTCCTAGCAGGCCTCCCAGAGTGGCACGGAGCATGAAAGAGACGCAGCGGCGTGAGTACACAGCCTCAACATGTGTCTGTGTGGCCCGAGGGTGGGACACCAAGTCCAAAACGTGGGACAGGAATGTGGCAAAGTTGCGTTCTAGCCACTGGCCCCCAAGTGTTGTCACAAACACAACATAGGCCTGAAGGAGGAGAAAAGATGAGATGTGGTAGTTGAATCTATAAAAGATTTTATAGCAAATTTATTGAAATCCTACCAAAAAAGTATCAGTATCAGTACTTAGTATTAGCGTGTAAACAAATGAAAATAGTCAATCATGATCATATTCTAAAAAATGCCTTAATTTTAATATTTCTTATTTGAAAAACTGCAGCTCACCTGTGTGACGCCCACCCGCACCTCCCTGCTGACAGAGCCTCCCCCCTTCAACATGTCCCCTCCACTCTTCAGGAAGCCAGATCCACCACGTAGAAACCCAGTGGCCATCAGCTCAAGCACCTCCTCCAGTGTGGCCCGCTTTACATTCTGACGCATCACTGAAAAAGAAATGTTTGAGAAGCTGAGTGATGAGATAGTCCAGTAGAAGTGAGAAGAGCAAGACATTCAGTCACACTCTTTAACTTACCAGCTGCTTGTTTGGGCATCAAGGCAGTGGCCATGACGGTTCCCAGGAGTTTGGCCACTGCCACTCGAACACCATAGTTGGATCCTTCCAAGGCTTTGAAACACATTGTTGCCATGTTCTCCAGTTCTGTGGTCCACATAAATACTGCTTCATTCTGCAGCTCTAACAGGCACTGGTCAGAGGAGCACAATAAAAACAAAGCTATTTCAGAAGAATGTATGTGCAACAGAAAAACAGTTTGGCTTTTATGAGCAAAATAAAAAGAAATGTAGAAATGTGCATTTTAATATTGTCTCTGCTTTGTGCCATTGGAAACAATGAAATGAAAACTGCAAAACATTTTGCTGTTAGAAAGCTAAACCGCCCTCATGACAGACCTCTTTGTCTAAGGATGAATAAACCGAATTAAGCCCTTACTTGTATAATAGTTGTGTGAGACCAACCTTTGCTACCACACAGCGAACTGCCATGGACCTGTCTGTCAGCAGAGAGCGAGCATTCTTGTAGATATCTCTGTGACACGAAGCTGCTGCACCCCCCAGCCCACTGAGCACCTTCTGTAAACTGAGAAGAATCTCTCCTCTGCCTTGAGACTAGAGCAACACAGTGATACATCATCATTTCTTTCAAAACTAAAAACTACTTTTGTTATATTTAATGTGTATATTCAACATGGCATTCCTATGATTATACCACTAAAGACATCTGAAAATCAGGAAGACTTTGACTTACTTCTGCACTCTTTAAAGCCTTTAAAAGATTATTTATAGTGTCTGGAAAGGAACTTCCCAACATCCTGCCCATCTTCTCATAAAATGCTCCCACACAAGCCACAGCAGCACTGTAAGAAATTAGAAAAAAGACTTAAGTCAAGTCCATTTAAACCAACTTCACTAATTTAACTCTTCAAATACATCATTACTCTAGTAATACAATAATTATAGTATAAACTGAGGCACTGCTTTTATACTTTGCTGGAAGAATACATAAATGTTTACATAAATGAATAATGTATTAAATCATCCAATACTAGCACTGCTGTAACCACAGAATGCACACAGTAAAATACCCACTCTTACACTGTACACTTAACCCAACCCCCAACATGTCATCCCATAGATTAACATTTGGATTAACCCTGATACTCTTGATTGTGCAACATTATACAATGTTCAATCCCTCTGACAGCTGCAGTAAGTGTTTTCAAAGAACACAAACATGAAGATACTGTTGTGATTAAAACAGATCTTACAGTTTGGTAGGCAAATACGCAGGTGTGTCATCTTTGTTCTTGATTATGTCGTTGCATTTATCGAGGGTCTGGAAAACTGTAAATGTGTCACCAATGCTGTAGAGGGTGGCAAGGTTTTTAGCCAACAGTTTTCTTGTTGGTGGTCCGGGAGAACTACTGATCAGTCCAGTGAGCTGTTCCACCAACTTCTTCTGCTTTTCCTTCACATCAACCTTGCCATAAAAAAACAAAGAATGGTAATTGGCAAAGTAATTAGTTTTAGCCACAATAAACCAAAATAAAAGCTTCAAACTTTAAACAATACCCCTAATAATACTGTAAATATGCTAGGCATACATTTAAATTTCCGATTTCTTTTATCTGCGGTTGAATTTTATCCCACTCCTCTGTACAATTACCAACATTACCATTTGAGTAAGTTGGTAATATTTTTAAATTGTACATGCAAATTTGTAACAAGTCTTTGTACAAATTCATGTATAAATACTTCAAATACACACACCCCACCCCAATAATTAGTATCTGACAAGAAAATGGAAATGCGCTGTCCACCGCAGTTACTGAGGAAACATACAGAAATGATTTACCTGGTTCTCCACCTACATAAAATTATAGATAGGTACCAAACTTAAGTGCAAACAATTCCAGTTAACAAATGTTCTAAAAACGACGGTATATAAATAGACGTTAAAAAGCCAATACTCACCTTATTTGCTGCAACTAGCACTTTGTCCAGGAAACGTAGCCATTCAAAGATGAAGACGGGCCTCTTTGCTTCAGTGATCTGAGCCAAGGCATCTTCATTGAGGAGCAGGCTATGAGCAAGCTCCATGGCAAAGACTTTTTTCACAGGAGTCTGTGCACTCTCCCCTGAAACGATCATGTATACATTTTGTTCAGCTATAACCTTGAACGCGCAATAATAACATAAAAATAACACAAATACAAAACAAATTAAAGTGGATGCCTACAGTACACAGGTTACACGCTTATGGACCCAATGATATCATATTATATGCAGTAAAGTGAGCTCATGCTGAGCATCGCTGTCACTCTGCTTCCCTGTCTTGACAGCTTCTTGCTCCAGCTGTTAAAAGGCAAGCGAGTTAGCGACCTAAGCTAGCTCCGTCCACCGAAAGACAAGTCAGAATTCAGAAAACACATTTCTGCATATGTCGGCTTTGACCTCTTTAAATTTTTTAGACGTACAATTGTTCAAATTGTTGACCACAAATTTGACTATTTTTACATATTTGATATGGGTGACAATTTTTATCCTACCTCTATCGACAACACAGGATGAATGACGACGAGTATCACCGGTGTTACATTTAACATCGTCCGCTCAGAAAACACTGAATAATAAGCAGGAAATCCTTCTGTAATGACAAACAAACAAACAAAACAACCAAAAACTGATGTGTTTTTGTGAAACATATCATGTATATAAAGTGCATGTATGATGCCGCGTGTAAAGCTTGGAGTTTTTCTCCGGAATGTTAGTTTGCTGAATCGTGAAGCTAGTCGGAAATCATTTTTGGACGAACCAAACATTGTTGAAGCGGTGTTACTGTTTTGAAATTTATTTTACAGTGGCTTACAATGTCTGACGAGGAAGAAGATTATATGTCCGACGCCTTTCTCAGTACAACGTAAGTCTGGGTGTGTCTCGTCCTCCTTGGAAAATCGGATGTATACTAAAATTATTTTAGTATGAATCCTTGATTTATCCTGGATGTATTGTTTCGATCTGCAACATTACATATACAGTACAAGCCATACCTTTGAGTAAACAAATAAGTATCCCTGTATTCTATTCAGGCAAGATGTGAAACCAGGAGTCAGCATGGTGAGGCGGGTAAAAGAAGCAATGAAAAAAGAGGTAAAGCAAAAAGAGAAGAACATTCAGAACCGACAGAAGACCTACAAGGAACACGAGAAGGAAAGTCGGGATTCAGCTCTGCAGAACTCACTAAGCAATAACAACAAGGGATTTGCACTTTTGCAGAAAATGGGTTATAAAGCTGGACAAGGGCTTGGGAAAGAAGGCAAGTTTTTTTAGCTAATTTGATCGTGTTACAACACAGTAATTATCTGTAGTTTATTCAACCCCAGATTTTGGCCGAGTATCTTTTCTCTAGCGCATTTATGTTGCCTTGTGTACCTGTCGTACATGTTCGTTATGTACTGCGTTAGGCATTAACCTTTTCTTCATTAAATTATTATGTATTTAATGTTTTCTAACCAGTCATCGTTCACATTTTAGCATGTCTGCACAAAGGGATCCTTTAATTCCACAAACCTAAAAAAAGTGGGAACCAAAGCTAGTTTGGATTTATTTCAAATTTATAAAGCTATTAGTAGCAGGCCATACACACCTGATGAAGTTAGAATTTGAACAATTAGGAAAAGACAAGGAACATAATCACACTTAGTAGCAAAAAAGTTGAAAGTGATTGAATGATAATAGTTACGAGGCATTTTTTGACACACATTCAATTTATCACCTGTTTTATAATTTCCATTCCTTGAATGTTTCTTATTTATATTTTGTTTGTCCTTCCCAGGAGCTGGCAGGGTTGATCCAATTCCTCTGAACATCAAAACTGGTGCGCACAGAAAGATACATCTTATCCATATAGATTCCATCAAACTTCATTTCATGTCCGTTTCTCTCTTTGCTGAAATTAGACAGGGGTGGTATTGGATTAGAAGAAATAAAGAAAAGAAAAGCAGAGGAGGAGCTCGAACGCTATCGTCAAAAAGTACGAACTAAACAACAGAATGAGACACGAACTCTGGATGATTTTAGGTGATACAGCCAAATGTGACATAGTTTGTGCCAAGGACATTGAAGTTTGTCTGTTTATAAACGTGAGCTGGTTCGTTCTAGGTCAAGGATGAAAACAGAACGAGATGAGCGAAAGACTGAGGGAGATCTAAGAAAGAGTCAGCGTGCCTGTGAGCAGCTTGACAATCTGAAGGTTGCTCAAAAGTTTCCTGCAGTAACATAGACCCCTCAAACACATTTGCACAATTTTATTAGCATGGCAAAAGATGCCAGGAAAGTTCAAATTAATTGCCTGAAAGTACTTATATGCTGTTTTTTTTTTTTTATCTAAATTGCTCCATTTTAGGGCATCATTGTACCTAGAGAGGATTGGTACTGGCCAAAAGCAAATGCAGATGAAGATGAAGTTGAAGAAGAATATGATAACGAGGAAAAGGAGGAAGAAGACATTGTTGAACTAACAGTAGGTAACCACACAAGTTACATGAGTATCTTGTGTAAAGTCACACACATATTAACACAAATTAATCTACAACTAGTCAATTATAATTAATTTGACATACTTTGATTATGTGTTATGTACATGGTTTTCTTTCCAGACCATTGATAAACTACAAATCTTGACCTCCTATTTAAGAGGAGTCCATTTTTATTGTATATGGTGTGGGACGACTCATAATGGTAAGATCCATCATGGGATTTACAACTTTTTAAGTTTTCTGTTCATATTTTAAAAAACTAATTTGTTTTCCCTTTCAGATGAAGAGGATTTAAGCTCTAATTGTCCTGGTGATACAGCAGCAGATCACGAATGAACAACATGTTGTGCAGTAGTCACCTTATCAGCGATGTTGATCCTGAATTGAGATATTTAAAATATGCATCTTCTCATGTACCTTTTTATTTCAATTAGCTGCAGGGTAGGGCCATCTGTGTGAAAGCTGCTAATAAGCAGCAGACTTAAAATTATGACCTTATTTTGTTGTTATCTATTTCTGTAAAATATGACCCTGAGAACTTTTGCATTGTTGCATTGTCAGTGTTTTTAAAATTGTAACTTTTGTTTCAATAAATGACCTTGGCTCTAAATGTAAGAACATTTTGTTTAATAGAAGTAATAAATAATTTACACTGCTATACTACATATAGTACTATTCATACATACCATACACGTGCATGTGATGTTTGTGTGTCTAAAAACATTTTATATATATATAAATATATATTATCTGTTATAACGTGGATATTATTTATAAACTTTAAGTATGTTCCTAAATTATCTTCACATTTACAATATTTGTTCACATTTATATTTCAGAGTGGACTTGAATGCACCATGTTTGTGACGTTAGGAAAACGAAACTGAACTTGATAAAGTCCTGTTGTTCGTGCAGTGGGCGTTAGGGCTAATGTCTGTGAAAACTAAAAATGCGATAGAATAAGATACAAGTCGATTTTCCTTGAGTCCTGTCGAATTACTAGTTGATTATGGAAAATGAAAATTGGATAGTTAAGCTGAACGAACGTGTTCAGAGGACAGGCTTGGAACTGAAATATGAGGACCTCGGAGATTCTGGACCGGACCACATTAAAACGTGAGTTTTTACGACTGCGTAAATAAAAAGTATTGACCGGACCACATTAAAACGTGAGTTTTATCATATTGGAGTAATGACTTTTAATTCAGTGCGACTGCGTAAATAAAAAGTATCATCACGACGGCTCGAAAGATCCAGAACATTCCGTCTAATGCAATGACTCATGGCATATTGTAGATATTGGGGCTAATAATTAAGCTATTATTTTGGCCTGCACAAGTGTATAAAGAAAATGTCTCATCGTTCTTGTAAATCTTTCAAAAACATGTATTACGTTATTGATTGAAAATGCAGTGTGTGAAAATTTTGGGCCTAGTGTCAGTCCATGTCCTGGAAGCGATTTTATGTAGCTCAATCTAAAAGGTGTATGCTTTATTTAAAAAAAACAAAACAAACAAGGGTCTCTATGGTTGGTTGGTGAATTTGATTTATAGTCAGATTGACTACCAGCATGTGCCCCACACCATGTGCCATATACTAATGTTTTGAAGATAGAGAAGTGGTATTGACTATGCTAAATGGTCAACACTCGATTGAATATCCAACTGCCAATCACATGGTGTTACAGTACTGGTGATATTTACACTCAACAAGTATCTTTTCTCAGTATCTGCTCTTGTGCAAGACCTGGAATCAAAAAAGAATAATAGAAAATCTCTAAGGCACAGTGGACAGTGGATTAAAAGAAACGCATGGGCAGCCTGACGCAGTGTGTATATTTATTAATGCCACCATTCATCTACGTATCCTGCTCTAATACATTACATTACTTGTACACACTGTGGGAAAGATGATTTTCTTTTTACAATAAGCAGCTTGAGGTCCACCGTTATAATGCCCAGCATGCATTTGTGGAGGCTTGTAGCTTTATTGTGTGAATGAACAACTAAGAGGAAAAAATTATTATAAAACTGATAAAACAAGCCATGGTAATATGATAATTTAAACCAGATCTATACTTGTCACAACACTTGTTTGGCATGTTAAAAAACTTTGTGATTTCTCCTCAGATTTAGAGTAAGAGCAGTACTGAATGGCAAGGAGTGTCCACCTGGTACAGGGCACAACAAAAAGAAGGCCAAGCAGAATGCAGCCAAATATGCATTGGATATGATAGAAGAGTCAGCTGACCTTGTAAGAATTAATGTTACATTTAATTCAACTGCATGTTCATCTTTATTCATCTGCACTATTTGGACCGATAATGCAAATGACAATGACAACCTTAGCAGACCTCTGTGTATGTCTGATGTTTTCTCAGCAGACAGAGAATGTAGAAGAGGCTTCACCTGCTGCAGTTCAACAGACAAACATCCAGAGCTACATTAGTTGGCTCAATGAATATGGTAGCAAGAACAAGTTGTTAATTATACCCAATGAGTCCATCCATCTGGAACCAAACTTTCCACCTCTGTAAGACTTCATAGATACACTTTGTTTATTTTACTATATAGTTGTTTAGTTACTACTTTAATAAATGCTCATTTCACTGTAATATCTTTGCTTTATCAGATGCTGCTACTTTTGTGTGGGTGAGAATAAGTTCCCAGCTGGCTATGGGAAAACCAAGAAGGAAGCAAAAGAGGCAGCAGCAAAGCTTGTGTATAACGACATAATGGGCAATATAAGCACAGAGGTAATTAGTAATCTCACTTTTACAAGTTTGTATTTACATTTTTAAAATGTGCACAGGAAAAAGGTGATGGAAATTAACCGGCTTATAGTTGAATTACGTCCCTTTTTTGTTCTTTAAGACTAGAGATGAGAAATATGGAAGCACACCAAGTCGACAGAAAGAGGAGTCTAAACAACATGTGTCAGAAAGCTGGTAAATACAAACAGTCAAAGTAAAGTGACTTCACTTTTGATTGCTGTTTGTTGTGAAGCTTACTATGTGTGTCATCATTATTTTACAGCAATAGGACAATAAGTCCAGGTGTAAATAAAGACAGTGAAAATTTTGTTGGACTAATTAACCAATACTGCCAACATAGGAAGTTGTCCCATGATTTTGTTTTAGAGAGCAAAATTGGTGAATCCCACAATCCACAGTGAGTACAAGCATCTTTAAGTGGTAAATCTACAGTAAACATTAACATGTTATACATGAGGGAAAACCAAAACAAAATAATCAAAGTTTTTTTCTTCTTTTGGACACAGATTTTCCTTCAAATTACTTATAAACAACAAGGAATATGGTCTGGGTCAGGGTCAGAACAAAACCAAAGCCAGACAAAATGCAGCACGGCAGGCCTGGGCTGTGATACAGTCAAACTTTGACTCTAAGGTACTTTTATTTAGGTACTTTTTTTATTTGTCAGTTTTTCAAGTGGACTATTGGTGTGAAAGCTCTGCTCACTTTCCGTACAGCTGTCACTGTTAACTTTTCAGAAAGTCTAAATTTGTTTACATTTTTAAAACATATATCCTTAGTTTATATATTGGCTTACATCTCACATAAACTTTAAATCAAAATTAAATCATTTTATTGTCAGGCCTTTTGTGAGCAGTTTTTTCTATGCCTTGTTGTTGTCATGCTCACACCCTGACCCGGTTTGAATGTGCACTATTTCTGTTTCCAAATCACTGTGTAAGGGGTCAAATGTTTTCTTCTCTGTTCTTAGGTAAATTCTTTGCCAGGGTCTGAGGATATTGAACCAACCACCTTGGCAACCAGACCATATAAACAGTAAGAGACATAACTAGAAAAGTGACAGAAATATAGAGCTAAAATAGAAGTTAATTTGTGACTCTGTTCTCTCCAAGAGAGACTCCTGATACAGACTCAGAAAACAGGCCATCGAGTAAAGGGGACTCAGCCATGTACACTGACTCTCAGAGCTCTGCTAAGTATCGCGTTAGTATACTTATATAACAGGAAATACAAATATATATTTCTATATATACTTATCTTTAATGATTTTACCATAGATAGAAGGTAATAGGTGTAAATGACTAACATTGTTGTACTGTTTCTGTGTGAAACAAAGGATCAGAGTCCTGGCGTGAGGCAAAAAATAAAGTAAGTCATCCACAACATTCATATGTTTACATTCTCATTGAGCTTATTAATTTTTTTGTTGTTGTTTTGTTAGACTTGCACCAACTTTCCAGAATGTCGCAGACAGAAGCAAAGAGGTGAAGTAAAAACAACATGCATGCGCATGTTTGGGTGTGTGTGTGTAAACTGATGTAAATGCTAAACATTTTATCCCTTTGTCTTGTCTCTGTTTTTCCTAAGCAGCAACCACTAACTTTTATGAAACCCAAACTAAATCCGAGTGAAGGAGAATCATACTCACGGTATGGCAAAAGAAAATATACAGTATCTGTTTATACATGGGTAATTAAAAGTTCTAAGAAAAATAAATACAAATAATAATAATAATACAGATATTCTAAACATGCTTTTTTGTAACAGTTCAAATACAGATATTCTAAACATGCTTTTTTTAACAGTTCACTGCTACATACGTATATATATATATATATTGTTTTGAGGGTGAAAGGTAAAACAAAGAAAGAAAAAAATGAAAGATTTAGTAATGCTAAGTCTTACGTCTTTGTCTACAAGTTAAAACTACAAATTAGATAACTAGATAATCAGTCTGTTTAATAACTGCCACAGATTGTTGATTTAAACTTCCCTGTGGATGTAGATCTGTTCATTCAATCTGAAAGGGTTTGATTCTGCAAAAAAAGTTGTCTAGAACTAAAAGGTTTTGAAAACAATCAGACCACTGCTTTGTTAAAAAATAACAATGGTTGACCTTATTAAAAAAGGTTTACTTCAGAATTTGACTGCATGGAGTGTCTTGGCCATGGAACCTTTGGACATGTCTACAAGGCAAAAAATAAACTTTTGGGGAAGTACTTTGCTGTAAAGATTCTTCAGTACCAAGAGTAAGTTATTTTCTAATGAGAGTTGCATCATATACAGATTAACTTTCATACATAATGTATGTAGTCAGTTTTAATAGCATTACTTGAATTACTGTCTTCTGTTGTTCTCCAATAAATCAGAAAAACTAAAAGAGAGGCCCTGGCGTTGTCAGACCTCCATCACCCAAACATTGTTAGATACTACACCTGCTGGATAGGGGATTCATGTTATCAGAAAGACTGTACAGCCGTCAAACAGTGAGTCCTGGTTTTGTCATATGTTCCATGTTCTTTGTAGTCAGAGTACAAAGTCCTTATTTCCCCTGTATTTTTGTATTTAAACATAAGACCAACTTAGAAATAAGAGTTAGTCTTACTGTTCAGCCAAACAGGGTCAGCTACCAAGTACCTTTACATCCAGATGGAGTTGTGTGACAGCAAAACACTGAGAGAGTGGATAAAGGAGAAAAATGCCGAGAACGCCAACACATCTTCACTAGATTCAAAGAACAGAGAAGAGAGATTAACCATTGCTTTGCAACTAGCCAGCGGAGTGGAGTGCATCCACTCCAAAAACTTCATCCACAGAGATTTGAAGGTGAGACAAAAGCCATTTAAAAAAACAAAAACATCAGTGGCATTACATGAGTCCACCCGCTTAACGTGTATTTATTTTTGCTTTCCCACTATCAGCCTCCTAACATCATGTTTGGACAGGATAAAAATGTAAAGATCGGGGACTTTGGTCTGGTCACTGATGAGAATCACGATCCTGAAAACCTGATTGATAGAACAGCCTACAAAGGAACACCGCCTTACATGGCTCCTGAGCAGGTAATGCGTGTCTGAGAAATTGAATGTTCATAGTGGTTCCTATCGGTCATTTCTCAGAAGGATGCAACAGAGAAGAGAAGATACATTAATGTGTGCCCGTTAGGGTTGTAACCATACACAAAATACTTGGTTCACCATAGTTCTTAAAGGATGATCCTAGCAAAGAATAAAACTTTGGTAAATTGATAAAAACTATTGCATCAGAAGCTTTCACCATACCGTTGAATTCTTATCCTTTACAGAAAAGCAGAAAAACCTATGACAGAAAAGTGGACATATTTGCTTTGGGGTTGATCTATTTGGAGCTTCTCTGGAACATAACCCATGAGAGTTTACAGGTAAACTAGGATGTTATTTTCTTTTTTTTTTCTTTAAGGGGGGCTTATTTTTTTAACCTATTTGCTTAAAAAAATATTTTTGGTTATTATAACACTACTATTACTACTATTATATTAATACAAAGTATTAATTTAAATTTATAACACTACTATTACTACTATTATACTAATACAAAGTATTGTTAAATTGACCTAAAGTTTCTTTGCTGCTCTTATCTTCGCTATACATCTACAATAGTTGGTTAAAGCTTCAGCTTGAGACCACATATCCTAAATCAAGCACTAGATTGACTGTCAACAAATTGTCGTTCTTACCATTCATTTTAGATTTGGGAGAACGTAAGAAACCAGATTTTTCCTGAAGAATTTTGCCACGAGTTTCCCCAGGAGGTATGAACATTTGTCTCTGATTTTTTATCTGCTTTACTTCGGGCCTTGTCATGAGTTATATTGTATATATACATGTACAGTATGTTTGTATGTCTCATATCATAAAGATATCATGCAGGTTATGTGTTGATTTTGGGGCACATTCAATGAGATAAATAAGATTTTCTTTGTTGTCTCAAAAAATAACCCCAGGACATAATGTAGCTTCTCTCAAATAATGAGTGTAATTTAGTTTAAACTGTGCATAGCTGTTGTGGAGATTTGGATATTTCAACATCTTTTAATTATCTTTTCCAGAGTCG